ATAATATATATATAATTTATATATAACGTATTTATATAACATATATATTATATATAATAACCGTATATATATATATATAACGTATTTATATATTATATATGTATATATAACGTATTTATATATAATTTAGAATATATATATATATATATTATTTGACAGTAATGGCATAATAGTAAATTCAGTGATAAAGTAATGGCATAATGGTAAATTCAGTGATAAAATAAAGGTATAATGGCATAATGGTAAATAAAGTAAGGGTATAATGGTAAATTTGACGAAAAAAAGTAACACCGTTAGTAGTAAAGTGACGGTGTTAACATCAAAGGGAGAGTGTGCAGGCAGATATATAATAGGAGGGGGTTTGACGCAATTTTTAAATTACGAGGGGAAAACGCGCAGATTTAGTATATTACAGGGTGCAATTTACCCAATTGAGAATTTGATATTCGATAGAACTAAATTACAATTTCCATATTTGTTTTATATTTAAATTTAGCTCATGGCTAAATTTACAAATAAATGAGAATTGAATATATTTTAATTTGGTACAAGTCTTAACTCAACTTTACCGGAATAAAACCTAATGTATCCGCAAAACCCAGGAGAGCTTAGATTCCATATTCACGTTCAGACGAACAGCATATATATGTAATTCCAGAACCAAAGTGTAAAGTGGATCTCAATACAATATTTCAACACAAAAATGCTATAGAGCCATCGAATGGTAGGAAAACCGTATTACAACAACTTAAAAACCTTAATGGAATGAGTATTTTCAAACATAAGCCATCTCACCACTTATCTCATATGGGTACGGCAAGTAAATGCAGGACGAAATTAATTTTGGTCTGAACATAATAACAAGAATGGCCGGGGTATTATACCTATTCAAGGTGTAAAAATTGGGTACAATACAATTACATGAAGTATACATGTTTAAAAGTTCAATATGTAAAATTTTTACATATTAAAAATATTAATATAATAACTATTTTTTATTATAATATATATAAAAACTGCGACTGCACAATAGTGTTATACGAATTGCACTTTCACGACTAGGTTCAAATAGTCGCATAATCGGCTACGTAAGCATCTGCTCGACGTCAGGACGAAATATCACTTTTTTTTTTTTTTTTGCATTTGCATGATATTTTCCAAAATCGACTAACTTGTATGACCAAATCTTAATTGGGAGGAAGATCTCTAATTTTTGAGGTTTGTCAATAGAGGTAGTTTACTCTGGGGCTGAGCATGAGACTCGTAGAATTCTGGACCGTTCTGAAAACTGAACTGAAATCACTCCGGACCGAAAAATAATCGTTGACCGTTTGACTTTCCCCGAACCGAACCGAACCGAAAAAATAATTGGTACGGTTCTGGAGATTTCACAAATATTCATACCGAGAACCGAACCGAACCGTCCATGTCAACTTTGATTTTATATAATATAGTAATATATATTAATCTTCACTAAAATTTCATGCTTAGTAATACTTGATCTACAATTGAATTTTTTCTATTATAAAATAATTATCTAAAATAATATGAAAGTTTAAAGAATATTTTTTTAAGATAAAATATTATATTTTATTTCAATTTTATTTTTTTAATGTTAGTTGCACAAATTTAGTTATAACTAAAATTTTGAGTTACTTATAAAGTTGATTTCAAAATAAAATCTTTAATGTGAGGAAGTACTGATGAATGTTGGTTTTATTAAAGTATATAAAAATTAAATAACTAAAATTTAGAGTTACTTCTAGAATTGATTTCAAAATAAAATCTTCAATATGATGAATTATTGATGAATGTTGTTTTTTTAAAGCATATAAAAATTAAAATATAACTAGGTAGTAATTCAAAAATTATTTTAAAAAATAAAAAATCTCCGAAGATCCGAACCAAACCATACCGAACCGAACTGTCCTAATAGTCCCGAATATCGAACCGAACGGAAAAATAAAAATCTCCGTACCGAACCGTACCGTCTTTTTGGTATGGTTCCGGAGATGAAAGTTTGGTACGGGTTCTGGATATTGATATTGTGGGGGACGGGTTATTTTTTTAAAATAATAAAAAAATCTGTGGCAAAAAATAAAAAAAATAATAATTGTGGAAAAAAATCAAACGGACGGATTCTGAAAATCCGTGT